TNATTTCGTTTCTCATTCTTCAGTTTCCACGGAAAGAATGAACGAAAAATCTAGAAACAAGGAAACTATAAATTACTCCTATATGAGCAGAAAGTATGACGACAGTCTCGGTCATAAACAACGTCAATCCAAGAATCGAAAAAAAAGCATGAAAAAAATAAATGAAGTTTTTTTTGTTGCTGTAAAATCCGCTCTGTTGCGTTGAAATGGTTCTTGCACGAAAAGATGCGGAAGATTTTGACACGACGCAATAATAACGCCCCCACTTCAACGCGGAAGTCGACGATATCCATCAAATTTGTTTGAAAAAAGGGAAGCTCGCTATAATTCTGCGAATAATTACTCGTCACGACTGGATTTCTCCCTAATAATAAAAAATTGTTTCCCCCTTAGAATTTTAATCACGAACAACAACAAAATAATAATAAAAAAAGGCGATCACGTCGACGAATGCTTTTTTGCAGCACAGTCGACTTTCAAGAAGAGAAAGGAAAACATTTTTTTTCAGCCACGTCTATAGTTCCACTCCCAAGAAAATGTTTTCACAGAATAATTAAATCTCGGGGCATGAGGAACAAGACGAATTTTCTCTGATTTTTCCGCCGAAAAGTTCGAAACACCGTAATTAAAAATAACTCATCAAACTCAGCGAACAGTAAAGTAATTTTCTCCTCGAATTGGACTCCGACTATTCCGTTCCTGGCGCTGCGTTTCGTTACGTTTCGTTTCGTCACGAAAAGCTCCTTCCCTTGAAAGTTAGATTGTCATCAAACTCAGCGAACAGTAAAGTAATTTTCTCCTCGAATTGGACTCCGACTATTCCGTTCCTGGCGCTGCGTAAGCAATGCAAAGCAAAGCAGTGCTTTTCGAGGAAGGGAACTTTCAATCTAACATTTAATTTAATTAATAAGCTCTTTTAGTGGTTTTCGATATTTATGTGGAATTATTGACGACCTATAATAAGAATGTTTCCCGCATAAATTTGTGAATTTAAAACTGATTGACGGTGATCATGACAAGTTTTTGCCATTACCTTTCCATAGATTTCACAAATGTTACGAACAAGAAGAGGAGGCAGGAAATATATACTCAAATTTTACGATATTCATCGAGCTTTATGCCAAATTCAAAAGTTGTATCTCATCAAAACTTGCCGGAATTCGAGTGTTTACTAGCCAAAAATGTTGGTAAGTGAAATAATTTGTTATGTAAGTCCCGTTTTTTTCCTAATCATAAGAACTTTTTAAGGGATGATTTTCCGCTTAGTTTGTCTTTTGCTACGTCTTTTTGTACAATACTCACTGTATTGTACTACTGTATATGAGCTTCAGTATTCAAAGTTTTGAGCAGGGTTTTCCATTTTTTGCAAAAAACAATTGATTTTGAAGAGTATCTGTGCAGGATCGATGGGTAACTTCATTTTCAGTCTTCTTCCGTTTGATTAACCTTTTAATGCGAACTTCGGAGTCAATCCCACAGATAGATGAAAAAAGAAGGATTCATGCCTATTTTCTTGCGTTGGACAATTTCTTGCATGTTTTTCTCTTCTTTTTTTGTCAACATCGGCAATATTACTGCATTGGAATATTCTAAATTGTTCACACTGATGAGCGAGTTGCACAAGACCTTGCCAATAATAAGAGACAGGCCTCACTGCATGACACTCCTAAAATAATATCTGATGATCATTGCAAGACCCTTTATATTCGTTATGCGGGGACTCCCTGCAAGTGTACTCACACTCTGGCTTCCTGTGGGAATCGGAATTCCTGCTCCTCTTCTGTCGGTTCCTGACGCAGAGACGGAAACAACTGGCTCACCATGTTCCGGATGGGACCACCTTGCCTATGCGTGATTTCCGCCGTCTTGGGCTTCTTCCGCATGATGCCAGACTCAGTTTCTACCGATGATGCCGCCCTGGCCAGAGAATACAAATCCGACGCCGGTGCCGCCACGTACGGCGAAGCCATGGATTCCGGCGCCCATGCCAACAATGACAGGATTACGGCAAAAGATGGTAAAGCGACGAACGCGCGAATCGACAGCATTTTCATCAAATCAGCACGCAATTTTTAAAATTTAATAAGGCAGATGATGATCACGATTCGCGAGGGTCGTTGCAATAATAAATTTCTGCGCAAAAATATAGGCACACCGTATGTTAATGTTGTACACTGCTGGAAACTGCAGATACTATCACTTCTTATTTTGAACACTGTTCCATCATCAAAAACCAAGAAGAATCGGAAAAGAATACTTCACAATGCCATTGCATGAAATCAACACACAAATTTTCGGACACCTTCATAATACATGTCAGGCTTACCTATTGAATAATTTTACATAATATTTAGCTCTCACTGACAAGAAATTTTGTTCGCACCGAGATGTACCATAGTAATAAATCATCCTGCTTCCCGACGCCGTTTAACTTCGATACGACATCATAAATAATCAAAACAACTTTTCTCTACGATGACATTTATAAAAAATTAAGGAACGTTCCACAAATCTGGAATTATGTAGCGAATATTTTTTCTATGGTGCCCTAAATTTTGAATCAAGTAAAGAGCTATGAGATTGATATTTTCTTACTTGGGGTATTCTAGACTATCTAGAGCTAGGTATCTTGATCAGTGCAGACGCCGAAAATACGTTCCTGTCGATATAGTTTGCGAGTTATTAAGTTCCGATATGACATTTCTCTTTACGACATGTGAGGGCGGCTTGGAGTCGCCTAGGGTCGTCGCTAAACCTTAATAACACATAAAATAAATGGGAACGCTAAAGAAACTACTGCATTTATTATAAATTTTCTTCCATACATTCTGAAATTACGACAGAAAGCGAAAGTACTGTGCTGGATCCTGGGTATATATCTGCAGCTGATATCCGAGTAATCTCTTCCTCCTTTCCATTATTAAGAAATCATATCGTGAAAGGAATGAGAGCTGTAGCATTAAACCAATTTCTCCAGAACCTAATTGAGACACGCAACTGCTGAAGCATAAACCAATGATTTCCGAGAGGGGAAAAATTAAGAAAATTAATTAAGCGCACTCATGGTTGAATTCATGAGTTCACGCCTGAGAACACATTTTTATTTACTAAAAATATGTAAATCCGTCGCGCAATATAAGGTGGTCGTGCGGAGGCATTTCTGCTTGAAAATGCGGAAAATTCGTCAGTCTCTATATGAAGTCCACAAACAACACAACACTTCATCTCGCCGTGGTAAGTCCAAGTCACTCTTGGACTTTCGTCTACTATACGCATGTACAGTATACCGAATACCGTACTGTATTTTGATGGACTATGATAATAATACAATGCGCTTCTTTTATCCTGGCTAAAAATTGGCGGACCGTTAGTAGATACTCGCTTAAAACTTTTACGAAATGTAATGGAAATCAACCGCTATAAGCGAGCAGATGATACTTCGATTGAAAATTAAAACAGTAACACATTTTCCATTGCTTATTGTTATAGGAACTTGCTTCGTCTTCACTAGAATATTTCACAAGGGAAAGTCCTCGGAAACTCGCGTATTTATCATCATTTATCACTCATTCATCTGCTGCATATCTGTTCTTATATATTTCTTAAGAAGAAAAAGAGTACCTAAAAGTCTGACAGAATGTTTTTGTTGAAGGCCGGTATAAAAACTTTGAGCTAAAACTTTGTACCAAGCACCATTTTGTGCTTTGGATTTGAAGTAACTGCAGTCATTCCGGCCAAAGCACATCACATCTGAGAGGTTCAACAATAAATGAAAGGACGAAGAAGACAATAAAAAGATAACTTTCAGGTTAAGTATACTTCTTCAGACTTTCATAATTTCAATCGACACTGTTCCATTAATACATCGTCCTCACTAGAATTATATTTCTCCTATATTATACATAGCTCTTGATTTCGAACTGGAGTAACTGACTCTCAGCCGCGGTCCTTATATAAGCCCACGTCCGCACTTCGTCTTGCGCAATATCTCCACTATATATCACTTCACGCCCGGTTTCTCAGTCGGTATTCACAATCTCAAAAATAGAGAGAGAGAAATATACGGTAGTAATAAAAAAAAACGCACATCAAAAACCGTCCATCGCGGGATCCATGTCACCCAGCCCAAACATTCAGGAAGGCAATGCAGCATAATCACTGATCCGAAAACGTTGTTCCTTTACTGATTAGCATAGGATAGAGAGAGACATGAGTGACTCTGGACCAGCTGACCGCACTTTTCATTATCATCATCAACATCTCATGTCTTGCCTGGGTGAACTCATTCACTTTAAGTCGCAATCCTATACAGGAAGAGGAAGAGGACTTTGAAGGATACGTGTACGCCTCCAAAAATGTACGTCATACAATAAAATAATGACCTATAAGACATTTTGAATGAACTTTCTTCGCGAATCGTTTCAGCAAAATGACATGTGTTGATTGTATACTGTATTAAAAAACTTATCTCCTCAAATACCCAGCGGCATTGGAATAAATTGTACTGCAACATTCCCAAATCCTTTTTCGCTCACACCAGCTGTGGCCGCCGATTATTATAGACGAACATGTCCTGTATACGGACAGGGGAATCACGTACCGGGCCCTCTAGAGCAGAACAACTATTTTTTTTAAGATGCTCAACAGATCAAGATAACACAGCAATACAAAATTATTGGTGTACTTAGATCAATCATCTATTTACGCATCATGGATAAAAAATAAAAAAAAAACAGCGTTCGATGACCTATATCTCTCAGCATGCACTGAATCACCGGACTTTTCGTTTCGTCTTCAGTACAACTACACACGTGTAATCACATACTTCTCCACTTTAAGGTAAGCAAGGTTCAACTACTAAATACAGGCCAGTAAGGATCGTGATTTTATGTTTAAAAACTAAAAGTTTCGGAAAGCACTATACAAGATTCGTTGGGATATTGCCTTTTCGCCAGTGATGTGGTAGTTTTAATGCACTATAGTGGTGTTATGTGTAGAGAACATACCGTAAATTGAATTTAGCTCCGCATGTACGACGCAGTGCAGAGGTTCGGTTCTACAAGTGCTCGTACTACCGTACGCCGGGTCTTTCGGAAAAACTGAGTTTCGGTGCTCGAGTTCGTCGTTCTCGATCTAAACTTGTGCTGCAAGGTTATTTTGCTTCACTGCTTATTCTGTGGTGCATACTCCGAGTGGATGAGTGTTCCATCATGTTTCACGAAACGAATCAGTACAAGAATTGGATGTTTGACAATGTTGAAGAGATCGATGTCCTGCGACGAGAAGCACACAAGCGATCAGTTCAGAAGCTCGTCGAGCGGAGAAATGTAAGTCTGTCGCTGTTCTATGGCCTTGCGAAATAGCTTACTGTGTTCGTTCCAGGTCCGCCCGTCTGAGATTGATGCTTCGTTACTGAACTACGATGAATCTATGGTTATCTTGAGGCACTACGAATATAGTTTGCATGATTTTTGTCGCACTTTCTCCCCACCTATGCCGATGGCTGTGATTGGGACATCGTATCATTACTTCAAGCGTTTCTACTTGTTCAATTCTCCAATGGATTTTCATCCCAAGGAAATTCTGTAAGCGTCTATGTCCCGTGCATCCGAGTCCGTTTAACATCAACCTTTTCCATATTTTAGGGTCACATGTGTCTTTCTGGCATCAAAAGTGGAAGAATTCAATGTTTCAATTAGGGAATTCGTGCAAAATATTCGAGGAGACAAGGAGAAAGCAATCGACATCATCCTAAGCTTGGAACTTCTCTTGATGCAACAGCTTTCTTACCAGCTTCAAATTCATAATCCCTATCAATCTGCGTATGGGTTCATGTTGGACCTGAAGGTAAGCTTTCAGATCAAGAGCATACGAATTGTTCCTGCAATTCTTTATAATATCGCAGAATCGATGGAATGGCTTGGAAAACGTCGAGCTTTTACAACCAGCTATCGAAGAATTTATCAGCACGACTTACCGGACTGACGCCCCATTCATCTATTCTCCAAGTCAGGTACCGAAAGCAAGAATTAAAATATTGAAGGTTTTTAATTGTGCAGCATATTCTTTCTTGCATTATAGATTGCTTTAGCGGCTGTTGTTGATTCTGCCCGCCGAAACAACGGAAATCTTGATACTTACGTTACTGACGTTTTACTGGCGGATAACAAAGATAAGCTGAACGGCTTGGTCGAAAGTGTTCGCAAAATTCGATACATGGTCAAAAATGCCCCTGCTGTGAATCGCGATTTGCGCAAAGCTATCGAAAGCAAGCTGGACAAGTGCCGCGACGAGAGAAACGATCCTCACAGTTCTAGGTAAAGTCTTCAAGATCAACCGAAGTGTTCGTATTTTTAATTCTTTTTTGTTTCTTTTTCTAGTTACCACAACCCTATGAGAGAATCAGACGACGAGGACGATCTGAATGAGCCCAAGCATGCGCGCATGTCGTTAAGCTAAAATCGGAAGATTTTTTTTATAGAGTTTTAAGTTTTCAGCTTTCCTCTGCTGTTGCAGATTTTGCGTGATAATGATTTAATACATCTTTTTATCCTGTGGCATTCCATTGCTTTCTTCATTCTGTCGAAACTGTTCCAATTGTTGTATCTGATGTAATTCCAGTTTTGGCAGATTTTTCGTTAAGTCTGACATGCCGATTGTTGGATCATGCTCACAAATATGTCCTGCACCTGAATTTCTGAGGTGATTGTTTTTCAACCATGATTGAATACCGAGTAATTCCCTCTTAATTTTAATTTAACGTAATGAACTGTGAATTATTTAATTTATCGCTGAGTCGGAATCTCGTGAGATTTGCTGATCTGTATACTTCCTAGCATTCAAGGAATTTATTTTCGCGTTATTTTTATCCAGCCGGAATAAGCAGGGATTAATACATGGACTAGAAACGTCAGCCGTTTTGGAGTATTATGAAGATAAAAGCGTTGAGGCGACGCGAAATTTGGATTCGGAGGCTGTTAAATTGGTCAGAGCTGGCGAACTGAAGCTTGGACTTCGGAAGAATGTTTCTTACTCGGAACTGCGATGCGTTAAAGCGTACCGACGCCCTGCAGCGGGACTGAAAGAATTCCAGAGTGATGAACTCAGGCCGTCCAGCATTTTGCTTGATTGCTGCCGCCATATGTTCATGAAGTGAGTACATCCACGTTGATGAGGGTTTTTTTTCGTCTTCCGTATGGTACTGTAATTAATTTTTTTGGGTTCAGAATTTTAGATGAAACTGTGTACCCGTTTCCGGAGAAGGTGGAGTTCATTGCAGACCGACTGAGATCTGCGAAGCAAGATATCGTTGTTCAGTGTCTGACGGACAGGGCTGCTGAGCAAGTTCTTGAAATGACAGCCAAATTCATCGTGTTGGCCAGATATGAGTACGATTTTTCTTAAGAAGTGTCATATTTTTTACAAGGCGTTGAAGAAATAATTTGTCTATCGCCTCTATTGTCACACTTCTGGCATGATTCTTAGATAATGTATTTATTTTGCTGAAAACGTACTTAATTTAAGGTGGAAACTATTGTATCTTGTAACCATGATTTCCTGGGATGGAAATCTAGATCTATATTACTTGAAGTGAGATTTAGTCGAGTTTTCGAAGCGGTTAAATCCTCAGTTGGTTTCTGTTGCGAAAAATTTTTCTGACTGTATTTGGTGACGTTGTCCGGATTCTTCACACTGAAATAACGTGTTTCCGTTAAAATTTTAAATTTGTTAGTTAGACAGGTGTGGTCTGAATTCTCTAAAATTAAATCGAGAAGTTGACGCGAGAAAGCCTCAAGGTGATTTCTGTGTAGCAATAGAGATGTAATCTTTTTCTGTGTACTTTCAGATTGAGAGGCCGTGAAAAAGAGCACGTGATACCGGCTTTGTTGGAAAAGCAGCTGACGGATTGCATTTTTAGTTTGCTTGCAATTTACAAGGACAACGGAGCATTTTACGGAACTGGCAAAAAATTGGACCGGGAAGTATCTGACATACTCTTACTGCATTTGCTGCGCAGTATCGAAGAACCGCGTATTTTCATTGAAATTCAACAACTTGGGAAGAGGGTCTGGTAAGTACTGTGTATTTTTGTCTGGAATTCTCAAAATCTTCATTTAAAATTCTTCAAAAGGTCTGACGAAGGTGTAATGTTCGCCCGTGAAGTACTCTCTGCATTCACGTTGGGAAATACGTGCAAAATTTTGCGAATCTTGAGTAGCGCTTCGCTATGGAATAAGCTAGCGATCTCCCTGTACGTCCTGCCATTGATGCAACGGTTAGTTTTCTTTTTTTCATTTGCTTACAAATTTATTATGAATTAGCTAGTTTTCCGGGAATTTGTGTCGTACTTTCCTCGCGGGCACTGATGGAAACTAACTTTTTTATTTTGAATCTTTTTACAGGAATGGTTTGCGGGCTCTTTGCAGATCCGTCCTTCAAGCCGAAGTTGGTTACGTGTACCTCGACGAAGTTTTATTCAAGATGCAGAACGATCGAATTTTGGAAGATTCCTGCTCCTACTTCGGTCTTCAAGTTGACAAGTCTAGAAAAGTTGTTTTTCTCACTAAAGCTCATTTTCTTGTGGATAAACCCCCGGTGAGTGAACAAATGAATGTTTCAATTGTCTTTGAAGTTTATTTTGGAAGATCTTGAAAAGATGGAATGATTTCCTATTTTTCGAGTTCATATTATTAAATTTTCAGTCTTTCTTGATTTAAGTTACTGATGTGTGAATGGAAAGCGGTTTTTTTTTTGTTCATTTTATGCCTATGACAATTTTTTTGCTGCCTCTATGCTTGAAATCTTTTCAGAAATATCAGTGGAATTATTTTAGTTCGTAGGTATTTGATGATGTTCATTATTTTTCAGCTGGAAACCTGTAGACCTAAGTCACTGGAAGACGAGTTGGAGAATCTGCGTTTTGGCGAATGGATCTTCGGCGGTTGATTGTATTTCTGGGAGCCAGTCGTGTTTGTTGAGTTTGCAAAACTTTTGCCAGAAATGAAGCCAGTCCGAGCGAGGGACAAATCTTTTTTTCGAACTGTCAATTGCTCGAGAAATTTAAGCATTGGCGATTTCGTCGATCCACGTCAAGAATTGTGAAATCTGAGTGAAAACCGGAGGGAATCCTTCGCCGCATCCTTCGGACCACGAGTATATTCCCACGATCTGGTTATCATCTCCGCACATGAGCGGTGCTCCGTCGTCGCCCTTCAGAGAAAAGAAAAAAAAATTGATGGTAAAATCGAGGTTAAGTTTACCGCCCAATTAGCTAGGTGAATTTGCTCTTACGACGCCGCAAGGAACGCTGTTCGTTTCGGAAGCTGCGCAAATCATGGAGCTGCCGATGAGTCCTGTGCCCAAGTAAATATCCCTGCAGTCACTGTCAGCCATGAGAGTCAAGTCAGTACCCAAGAGAACTGGAGATGACACCCCGCTGCCTGCTTCAACTTCACCCCAACCCGCCGTTTTGCAATTTGCTGCGAAATATGAAGGAAAATTCTCACTGTCGCTTTTAAAACGGGAATAGTTTAGTGTACCGTATTTACGCTGCTATAAGCAGCCCTCCTCTCCAGATTCTTTTGCTCAAAAGTAAAATTAATTTTTCGATGAACACCAGTGGACTCTCTACAACAATTTTTTTCCTGATCCCTTGAATTTTGTTGTAGAGAATTCCTTGAACACGAGGAGAAAATTCTATGGGACTAAAAAAAAATGCCATGCGGGAAAAAATGTAGACAAGTTTGTTGTAGAGATAGGTGGACAATTTCGTTGGTGAATGACAGGACCACAAGACTGAAAGGTCTTTGAGGGTTAAGGACTTATATATTCCGAAAAAGGGGTCTTTTCATTTTACAACAGTATGTTGGGAACGATAAGGGGATCCACCACTGGCATACGCTTTTGAAGTACTAAAAGTTCATCATCTTACATTGTTTGCAACATCAATCCCAAAATGACTGGAGAAAAAGTGTTTCATTGTTTTGTAAGTTGCGAACGGGAAGATTTTCCACTTCATACACATATTCATGGAGACTGCATAAATACGCTCCTTTAAGCATCCCTTCAGTGTTAGAGCTTTTAAAGTTGTTGAAAATGTTAATTATACTTGTGCGAATATGGTACAGTATTGGACTGTAATTATCTGAGTACTGGTACCACACAGCCCTTGAATAAGATGTGCACCTTGGTATCTTAGCTCAAATTGTGGAAAAAATGACTTCCTTGCATAAGTTCTATCCCCTTTGAACCCCCAGAAACTATATTACTTGATTCCGAGAAGTATTTCAAGACTAAAAACGAGTACTGTACAGTACTTGCGGTGGGGTTCTCATCGTCGACGGTTGGAAAATTTCCAGGCTGAATCGCTTCGGACCACGTCAGCGGTTCTGCTAACTCAAGCAGGGCAATATCGTCGAAGTGCGTCGCTCTATTGAAACCACGGGGGAGCAAAAAAAAACTTATCTCAGTTTTGAAAAATAATGTTTTTCCTACTCGGGGGTTATCAGACAATTCTTACCTTGATGTCATATCACTCCTTTCTCCAAGTAGGACTTGTTTTTTCTAGTACTTTACAAGCAATTTTAACTACGTAGTCGAACTATTAAAACACCTTCTTACTGGACCTTCAGAGGTCACATCATAGCCTTTTGCTGAAGAGGTTCTTGGTATTCTGGCTGACCTCAAATATTTTGTACTTATTTTATAAAATGTTCTAAACTGAAATTCACCCTTCAAAGGATAACATGAAGACTTTGAAGAGATTAGGACTAGCATTGTTTAGACATGGAGATTCAGCAACTATTTCTTATTGAATTTTACAAAAAAAGAACCGGCTGTTTAGAAGAACGAGTACTGTACTGTACCAAGGTCAGCCTTATTGTTGTAATTACGAATGGGTTCGAGATTGAGGCGACATCTGCATGACTTCGGATTTAACTCCGGAGGGAGAACGGAAAGAGTGATGGCTTCGAATGCTGTACGGAATCATTATTCCATTGATGAATGATGGAACTCACTCTTGGTACAATTCATTTGGTATCACAGCAGCAATGCGGACTTGTACTTCTGCGCCATCAACCTCTTACAATTTTCAAAAATTTTCAAAAGCAAGAATTCAAGAAAATTGTCAAGCATCTCAAAACTTATCGCAATATATGTATCCTTACCGGTGACGAAACACGAGCCGATAATCGCAGCAATACCGAGAACGAGTCGGTTATTCATCATCATGGTAAACGTAACAAAAAATTCCCCCTGTTTTACAATAAACGGAATCAAATTTTTGATAAATTGGATTCACCCGCGATTAAAGGAGGAAAGTCGACACGCAGTATACCGAGTCCTGATGGTGCTTTCATCCACTTATTGAGAAAGATATCTTATAATCCTTATCGTCGTTCCTTTCATGCAAGGTCACCGATTTCAACAGAACTGAAAGGCACTAAATGGGGGTTGAATTCCATATTTGAAGGAATGCATCTGTCAAACATTTTTATGATAGAAAAAAACAGTATCCTGGAAGTTCTTGAAGAAGTGGTATTTGCATAAACGGTAATAATTTGTATATATTACTCCAAAAAAGAATTGGACACAAATTTATATGACTCTCCAAAAAATTCAGGAAATTCTGAAGAAATGTATTTCTGGAAAAATTTTAACTCCTTGTCAAAAATCGCTTCTATAAAAAAAATTTTTGTAGTGGACACTGCAACAAGAATCTGCAAAATACTGCACAAGAAGTTGGCATAATGCTGTGCATCATTCATTTTTTTACGATTGCAATTTTTTAAACCTGAGAATTTCAGCAGGGCACTAATTTTGCAAGATAAATTTCAGTTTATTTTCGAATACGAAAGACTCAGGTTGAAAAGGAACAAATCATTCCAGTTTTTTTTTAGAAACTTTTGGACTTGACTTATTCGTTTGACATTGAACGAATGTTTCAAGGTCCCCTATATGAAATTTGTAAACCATTAAAAAACCCCATACACTTCCACAAAACCTGTCACCAAAAATTACAACACGACTTATGTATTGTTTCACATTTGAAATCCGACTTCATTGTAAGATATTAATTTAACCTTTTTCTTTATATCCGTATATACACTGAACACGGATTCTCAAAGCGGTAGTTTTTGTGTTGGCAGCCGGAAAATAAATAATTTGAGGCCATTTTCTGGGAACTCGGCAATAAGTTGCAAAATTTGTAGATAAAAAAGCATGATTTGCGGAAAATAAAACTGGTTCAAAGCGTTGGTAGATTATTCATTTTTAAAATGCGTTGCTATCTACAATTCATATGCTTGAGTTATTGGCAAAATATGTTTCTTGAACCATAATTTGGCTACTTAAAAAAAAATATGATGAGAAAAGCAGAAAACTGATCACAGGACTGTTCAGATTTGTAAACTTGTGTGAATTGAATTCAAATATTTTAGTTGAATTTTTTATTCAAATGACGTATGAGATGAAGCTCAACATTGATTTCAGAAACGAAGTTTTTGATGATTTTCATGTTTGTGTGAAGTGAATACAAGGAAGTGAATACAATTTTTAAAAATAAAAAATTTCCTGAAAATGAATGAGGTATACAATTTTAAATAAAAAAATTAATGACAGGTCATACAATGATTCTAAAATCAAAACATTGAGATTCAATCTAAAATCAAAACATGCGACAATGAAAAATTTATTATTTGTACATCAAAATTCATCAAATATGATTATTTGATTTAAAAAAATATTATCATGTATAATAAAAATAAATGGAAACAAAATGTTAACATTTGCTTTCTCTGTCTTCCACAGTAAGACTCCCTCATTGTCCCAATTCCAATTTTAAAATCCTTATGTGTACGATAAGTGGGGGTATTGAAGTACAAAATTCTCAAATTGAATAAAAAAGTGGAAAGTCTATGGAATTTAAAAAATAGAAATCCTGTATTATTTTCAGAAACACCACGCCCCATTTTTTGCGTTCAAATTAAAAAAAAACTTTTATTTTGTGCCATCTGAGGCTGCAATGAATTGTTGATTTCGATCCAAGGGGATTTTTTTTTCTTTGAACTGAGATACTTGTATGGACTTTAATCATCATCTTGAGATGAGATAAACAGCCTCGCATACGTGATCTGATATTTCCAAATCAACGAAAAGAAATACAATGGGTACCCCGGATAATGGACTTCTGAAAAATGCCCTATCAATGGATTCAGGCTGTGTTTTGCTTTGGATGCTGGCCTGCTTTGAATGAAATACTCCAAGAAACAAATTATTCTTTTTCATAAAAAAAATTCTGGGGCAACTTTGGATGACAGCATCAACTTTTCATCAGGATATGATTAGAACCCTTCTAAAATATTTTTTAATGTTGATTGTGGAGGAAATTATTGAAGCATTCTGGGCACTTTCAGCAAAGTAAGATCAGATGATAGTGTGTTGCCTGTTGTGGTGTCCGAAGGACGCAGCTCCAGCATCTGGTTGCAACTGGACCCAAAAACTTGTTGGATCTCAAGACCAGCAGTGAGCCTTGCAAAAATCCCGTTTTTGCAAGACTCACTGAGCCTCACTCAAGGACAAGAAGTGGTCATTGAGAGGAGAAGTCAGACCTAGTGTTAAAGGACCTTTTAACTTTAATAACCTCATTCAATATTCTGAGCTAACCAACCAA